TTGACAAATTTATAAAACTGTCTCGGATTTTGGGCAAATTGCCTTTTACAACGAGTTAGATAATTCTCATAGCATTGAGAATTCAGAAGAAAGAAGTTCGACTTGGCTATGGAATATTTAGTCAAGTATGTACACGAACCAGACTTTTACAACTTTTAAAATATTTCGATTTTAAATTTTTTAGATGTGATAATCTAGGAGTAAACCAGGGTGGTTTGGAAAAAGTAGTCGAAGGAATTGACTTAGGAATACACACATCTAAGAGGGAGTTTAGGGTGCTATAAAAAAAATTAATAGCAGTATTTATATCAACCGAGTCATATAAGAAAGACTAATCGGTTGCATAAATAAGCTGATTCAGCAATGAATGCGAAAGCAACGGCGGGGCTTATTGGCTGATGAGCACGAAATGAAAGGATTACAATTGAGCATTGCAATCTCTACAATAGGATGATAAACATCCTCAGGAAGAGATAAAGGAGGAGACCTAGACACATTAGTAATATATTAGTCGTTAACAAAACAAGGTCAAGTGTTCTAATACAAGAAATATGTTTCATATAAACTTGAAAATCAGAAGAAGGAGGGACATAAGAGCATGTAATATAGATATTCCGTGTAGGAAAGACACCTTAACTGAGACAATCTCAGCGTCAGTAGGCGTACTAAAAGAGAAAAGTTCCGACTGGAGAGTGGCTTTAACGTCAATTAACACCCCACCATCACGAGTCGGCCGATTATTTCTATGCAAAATAAAACTATTCGAAAAAACATCAAAATAAGATATGGTTGAATTTAACCATGTTTCTGAAAATGTTATTATATCGGAGTCGAAGGAAGCGCTGGCCATGAAAAGATTTTTAAGCTTTGAAATAAGACCTCTGACATTCTGATAATGAAGAAAGATTTGGTCAAAAGATGAAGTCAGTTTTTGGGGCAGAAATATTGAAGGGACTGGAAGGGTGGCAGGCTGGTTACGCTTTTTAGGCTTGAACTCGTGAACAATCATGTGTGGAGCCCAAAATTTGGGGTCACAAATGATTGGGAACATATCATGTAAAAGATTTAGTTTGAATGATGATTTTCACGAGGGGTGGAGAAATTAAATTTGGTTATTAACACGCTAGCAGTAAATTTGCTAGCAATATGGGCTGCCAATGAATCAGAAGTGGTGTCCGACGAAAGTCGAGACACAAAAACTTGCCTACGATGGGCAACAACCGTTAAAGTAGGCGCTGATGGGGCTGTAGGTTAGACAGGAGTTGGAGGAGCTAAAGAGGCACCATGATTGTTTTTAACAATCTGGGCAAGATTGCGCGCAGGTCTACCTTTGCGGCCAGGAGCTGACGGGGCAGTTTGGATAAATGGGACCGGATCAGGTACGGGCTCTACTGGGACTACTATCGGGGTTGAAACAGGGGTAATTGGGCAGTCGCTTGGAGAAGGCGATAAAGACAGCATTGGAGGTAAATCCAAGTTGCTAGGAAGGGACAAGACAGGCATAGGTGTCTGAACATACGTAGAGGGCAATTGCAAAAGTTTAGGCTCCAACCGGAGCCGATTGGTTGGAGACTCGAATTTGTATTTGCCAAGCAACTCAAAACTCGAGTCAAAATTACTCGAGAGCTGCTTAGCCGCATTATTCAATTTTAAGAATTAATTTCTCACAGAATTATACATTCTGGAGAAATCAATTTGTTTGTCGATGCATTCTGGGCACGACCAACGCAAGCCGCCGCAGCCCTACTTGGCAGTTGCAGCGATCCTGTCGCAATCACGCCCAGTGAGACCTGCACATTTAGCATGCATCATATTCTCACACAGCCAGAAATTAACAAATTGCGGCAGTGCAGAATCATCAGCCTGCTTGAACGTGCACGGTTTCCTACAGCACGACGTAATTATTACTTGCATATGCAAAGATTAATTTATAAAAGCTTTTCAAATAAAGCACCAAAAAATTCAAAATTTATAAATAAAAAGCAGGATTAAAGCGCAAAAATATATAAAAATCTTGGAGCACAAGTAAAACACGTCAATCACTCTCAACTGAGAAATTTCTCTTTTGAGAGCTTTTCTCCACTGTCCACATTTCTTACACATTTTCAAAAATGTCACATTTGTGAATAATAATAATTTTGTTGTATTGAATTAAATTTTATCACTAACCATACAATGTATAGACATACCAAATGGCCCTTTTTATCGAAAAAATTTGAAGTTTTTGGCATTTGGGAATTGCGAGCCCTATGCACACACACATATACACACACACCCATGTGTGCGAATGAGCTGATCAAGGGTTTGTCGTGAGGCAGAGATATATCAATGGGTGCGTAAATTTGGGCGACTGGCACGGTGTTTGTTTTTGGCATGCCTGCAGTGGGCTTGCATGAAACAGGTGGATCGCACTTGTCGCTCGTTTGCTCTTTGATATGGAAAAAAAATGCAAGTAACCTTTTAATGAATTTATTGACATTATTATTATTTTAGGTTAAGGGGTTTGCGTCTGGATCCATACCATTTTCAGTGCCTGTTCGCACATTTGTACCTTTTGCGTCCGCAAGCCCAGCGCAACTGCTCACTCGAAAGAGTGTGCGTGTGCACAAGCAGCAAGTCGCCAAAATTGAACATTGTCAATTTTTGGTCTTTTCTGAAAATTCTTAGAAGCCGACGATGAATTATCCTTGCATAAATATTTTAAGCAAAATATGTGCCTACCGTAAACAGAAAATAAATATAAACATTTCATTTAGGTCAATTAATTGTGTATAAAATAAAATAAAATTGTGTATTAAAAAATTTAGATCAAATTCTTCTCATCACGCCTGACTGGACGAAGAAATACATGATGGAGCATTTAAATGTGTGTGTGGCTATTGATACGCCAGGCACAAAAGGCACACAATTGAAAAAATAACCTTTGTCTCGCAACAAACGCCGTGATCTACTTGTGCACACATCCACATAACAAAAACATGTATGTTTGTAGATCTCGGGGTTTTGTGGGAAGCTATGCAGGGAGAAAGAGATGCACACAAGTGCGCACAGCAATGAGTGAGAGCGAGGCACATGCATACACCAATATGTTTTTGGGCTGTTAGGATTTAAAACTAGCAAACAGACATATATTAAGGAAAAGCATCAGCCGCAGCGACGTCGTGCGCTGAGCGAGAACGTTCATACTGAACATTGGGCCACTCTCAGAAGTCTTACTCTGTCTGGGCACACTAAAATGCTCGCGACTTATCGTTATCCGATAAAAAAGCTGTTTGGTATATCTCTGCATTGAATGGTAGGTGGTATCATTAACCATACAATGTATAGACATACCAAATGGCACTCGAAACAAGAAAAATCGAAACGAGGCGACCCCAATGGTACCTGCGACCATTTTAGTGTGCCCAGACAGAGTAAGACTGCTGAGAGTGGCAGCCGAACGCCGGCCTCAAAATCCGAACGTTCAGTATGAAGCCGCATCTCGCTCAGCGCACAACGTCGTGGCTGATGATGCATTTTCCTAATATATGTATGTATGCCATTTTTATATCATTACATCCCAAAAACATATGTGTGCATGCATGTGCCTCGCTCATTGCTTTGCGCACATTCGTCCATCTCTTTCTCCCTCCCCGAAAAAATGCATGTTATCTTTTATTGGCATTATTATAATTTTAGGTTAAAGGGTTTTATTACAGGCAATTAACCATTTTCATTGCCTTTTTATACATTTGTGCCTTTTGCGGCTGCAAGCCCACCGCAGGCATGCCAAAAAAAACAAAGACCGTGCCAGTCGCCCAAATTTACGCACCCATTGATAAAAATATCTCTGTCTCACGACAAACCCTTGATCAGCTCATTCGCACACATTTGTGAGTGTGTATATGTGTGTGTGTAGAGATCGAAATTCACAAATGCCAAAAACTTCAAATTTTGTCAAATTTGCATCGGGCAGGCAGGCAGGAAACCAACACGCACACAAGCGCATTAATGCTTCCATCCATATAGAAAAGTGTGTTAGTGTGCGTGGTTGGCCGACCCAAAAAGTGACCATGCCCACATGCCAGAGATCAGGTACCCTTACCCCTACAACAAGCATTGAAAATAGCAATTTTGCACATGAACAGGCCCAACCCTTTAATAATTTCACACAACTGCTTACTTGAAAGAGTGTGCGCCAATTTTTGGTCTTTTCTTAAATTCTTCGTCAAGCCGACGATGAATTACCCTTGCAGAAATACGACTTAGATATTTTTGTATTTTAAGCAAAATAGGTCCCTACAGTAAATATAAAATAAATTTAAATATTTCATTTAGGTCAATTAATTGTGTATTAAATAAAATTTGATCAAATTCTTCTCATCATGCCTGACTGGACGAAGAAATACATAATAGAGCATTTAAATGTGGGTGCCTATTGCTACCACACACACAAAAGTCACACAATTGAAGAAATATCCTCTGGCTCGCGACAAACACCGCGATCTACTTGTGCGCACATCCACACAACACAAACATAGGAATGTTTGTTGATCTTGGGGAGGGAGAAAGAGATGGACGAAAGTGCGCAAAGCAATGAGCGAGGCACATGCATACACACATATGTTTTTGGGCTATAATGATATAAAAATGGCATACTTACATATATTAAGAAAACGCATCATCAGCCGCGACGTTGTGCGCTGAGCGAGATGCGGCTTCATGCCGAACGTTCGGCTTTTGAGGCCGGCGTTCGGCTGCCACTCTCAGCAGTCTTACTCTGTCTGGGCACACTAAAATGGTCGCAGGTACCATTGGGGTCGCCTCGTTTCGATTTTTCTTGTTTCGAGTGCCATTTGGTATGTCTATACATTGTATGGTTAGTGGTGATATTACCAAATGCAATACAAATTATTAAATATCGTAAAGGATTATATTATATCGATATTAAAAGCACTACAACAAATTATCTATCGAAAAGCAACCTTGCGATTGTGAGCAAAACAAATGCGTGTGAGAGCACTAGAGAATGCAGTACTTTGACATTTAGGGAGTTCTTTACGTATTAAGTAGTAACAGTTAGTATATATGATAAATTCTAATGTGTATATGAATCTGCATAATTTCTTTACTTGACCATATATCTTGATTCCCACAACAACAACTATATTGATACAATTAAAGTTATGGGAAGTATTGAAAAGGCGTGTATTTCTGGATTTCTTTGCCGCCTTTGCTCAGAAATGCATAGAACAGTTATACACATCTATGGAGACCATGGCCAGCGTTTATGTCTTGTCGAAAAAATCAATGGCTATTTGCCTATTACTGTAAGCACATCAACATAAATATATATATTAAAGGTTCAAAACTCATTCACATATTTTTTTTTAGATATCTCCCACAGATCCATTACCCAAAACTATATGCAAGACTTGTTTATATCGGGTGGAACAACATTATACTCTTTTAATGAGACTTACGCGTATGAGAGAAGAACGCAAGCTTAAATTACTGGGCTACAAAGCACAAAGGGAGGCGGTAAGAAAAAACGTTACACTTTGATTCACTTATATCATTCTTTCTGAACGTTTTCATTTCTCTTAAAGGATAATTTTTCAATATCCAGTGTCGAATGTTCTGAGGATGAAGAGCCAGCATCTACAGGGAATAATAACTTGCGTGGCTCAGCTAGAAAACCCAACTCCGATAAGTCAACAACTTCAATTAGAAATATCAGAAGCATTAATAATTTAGATATCGCAGGGACAAGCAGTACTCAGTCAAATATGACTAGTACCCCTATTGCTACAGAACATGACCCACAAGAACTTTATCCAACGATTTAGACGATTACCTTTAATATATCTTTGTTTAACCTAATCAAATACCATTTTCACATATACGTATTGATAAATAACAATATATATATATATATATATATATATATATAATAATAATATATATATAAGATAAGATATATATATATATATATATATATATATATATATATATATAATATATATAAATAATATCAGCATTGTATAAACTTAGTCCTATTTTTATTGGACACGACATATTTTTTCACTAATTTTATATTTGATGAAGGAATTTTCGAAAAAAAAAATAGCTATTATTGACTAGGAAGACGAGCTGATTCGAAATAGACATATGAAACAGCATAGTTTTTATTTGAAAATGTAGTAGACAAATGTTGCTGCCAAAATCAAACACGAAATAGTCTTGATGCGGTTTTTTATTCTGATGTTCGATAGCGACTATGTGCTCATTTTATGCTTACAGACCAAAAGAGAAATTGGCAAACTTTGCACATGTGTGAGCGAGACAAGAAGTAATCAGATTTGATAGAACACGGATATTCTAAAGCGCAATAAGATCTACATTGAAAAGTATCCCCTAGTCCGGGACTACTCCCGACTAGACCTCTCACTTATTTTTATACCCTGAACCCATAGAAAATGGGTAAAAAGGGTATATAGTATTTGTGCAAAATGTAAATGTATGTAACAGGCAGAGGGAAGCATCTCCGAACCCATAAAGTATATATATTCTTAATCAGCATCAATAGCCGAGTCGATCTAGCCATGTGCGTATGTCTGTCTGTCCGTCTGTCCCTATGTATGAACGCAAGGATATCAGTACCTATAAGAGCTGGAGACTTTGAATTTAATCGAATTTTAAATCGATAAGAATCGATATTAAAATCCTATTTATTGTAAATAATAAGAGCTAGAGTCACCAAACATCATATGTTGCTTCTAGAATATTATAGATATTTCAAGTATTTTTCATTTCATACCTATCGCCACCTCCCCGCTACCATCCCAGAGCTATAAATCAAGTTAATAATCCAACTTTTATTGCCAACCAATTTAAGCCACAATTTAAATGCAATTGATTTTTTCAGAATACACAAATATTCTATGGTACAACAAGATATACTGTAGAAAATTTCATAAAGATCGGTAAAAAAAAAAAAAGTTATATGCAACTGCGCAATTGAATGGGGCAGCAGCTTGAAGAATTTCGGTATACTTGTACACACACACATTCATGCGCGTCTGCTTCGCATTCTTACAGCATGGTAATTGCGACTTTTTTCTGTAATGCTGTTTTAGTTCCTTTTTTATCATAAGTACTTAATTGTTGGTGTGGCTGCTGAGTATAGGCATAGCAAGTAGTGCGGTCTGTCGCACAACATGTGTCTGTTCGAGCCCTACCGGGGAAAGTATTTTTTTTTTTTTTTTTTTTTTTTTTTGGGTGTGGCTGTTGAGTAGATTCGACAGCAAGTAATGCGGTCAGTTGCGAGTTCGAACCCTGCCAAGGGAACTTTTTTTTTATTATTTATTTCCTTTTTTCCCTAGTCGGGAGCTCCCGAGTACCGTACTTGGTTCAAAATATGCTCTACTTGTTGGATCACCGAATTCCAATGGATTCAATTTCTTGGCTCTGTAAGTATAGCGAACATTGGATATAGATTCCTTGATATACACTCAACCTGTTCGTTTGCCTGTGGAGAGCCTGTTGCTATTTTTATGTGTTTGATGTTAAAATCCTTATATGTGAAACAACTGTCCCTATCTGAAACCAAGCATTTAATCTTCATGTTGCTTTAATGACGTCTTTTTTGTTTGTTTGTTGTTTCGGTAGTATACAACCTGACAAACTAGGTAAAACCGTCCACTACCACAAATATGTTGTTCTTTGCTCTTTCCGTAGCTACCGGTCCTTAATGATCTATATGTATTGACTCAAAACGGTTATCTTCTTTGGGTATACTATGTAAAAAGTATCAGCTTTGCATCTTTTTTGTCCAAATGCGACACATTTTTCAATATGATTACTGTATACCTCTTAAGCATTCCCTAGCCAATAGTTCTTTAAAATCGGTTCCATCATCTCCTATATTCTCATTATAATACTTATGCAACACCTGTTTTTCCTTATGCTCTGGAATGCACAACAGTAACCTACCAACGTTCGTTTTCTATAATCAATCCCGCTTCGCATTTCAAACATATTGTGTTCATTTTTGTCGAAACGTTTTTTATTTTTTGTAATTAAGGTGCAAAACTATTTGTAACTTCTAATAAAATATTCGAGTATCTACTAAGAGCATCTACATGCTGCAATATGTTTCCAGCTCTGTGGGATGATTCGTAATCAAAGTCTTATAATTCTAAATCCCACCTGGCAATTCTAGGATTCAGTTCGACTTTGTTTAACGTAAATCTTAAAGAGTTACAATCTGTAAAAATTCTAAAACGTTTTCCTTGTAAGTAAGTTCCAGTTCTGTGGTTCTTTGACTCAACCTCAGATGTTCGTTTAGAAAAATTAATTATTGGATACCACTCGCCTCCCTCTTTTTATACACTTGCTTTGCTTCACGCAGTACATATGTCGGAACCAGCTAGATCGGACCACTATATCATATATATCATAGTAAAGATCGGTCGAAATGAGGGTTCTTAAATGAAAAACTTTTTGTTTATCAAGATGTCTTAAGCAAACTCGGCATTTTTAATTTTACTCTGCTTCTCATATATATGCAAAATCCTGTTAATATCTAAGCGCTATATAATAAAGCTGCCTGACGAACGATCGGTCGAAAATGAAGTTAAATTGAAAACTTTTTTGATTTTCAACATATCTTGACCAAACTCGCTATTTATAAGATTCACTATGTTCCCTAAATATGTGCAAAATCTTATTTACATCTGACAACTATATCATATAGCTGTCATAAAATCGATCGGTCGAAAATTAAGTTGTTGTATGGAAAACTTTTTTGTTTTTCAAGATATCTTAACCATACTCTGCATTAACAACTTTCTCTGTGCTTTAGAGCATTATGAAAAGGTAGAGGGTATTAAATCTTCTCTTCTTTCTTTTATTTCTCGTATTTGCATTAGCACGGTGCTAAAGCCAAGAGCACTAGCATCGCAATGTAATTCAATCTAAATTTTATGATAACAAAATTAAAAAATCTTTGATAAATTGCTTAAAATTCACATTTGTCTAAACGTAACTCGAGTTATTTTTGAACTAACCTTTCGAAAACTTTTAACTGTTCCTCAATATCTCTGCTTGCATCCATAATGTTGTCCCTGTACACAATAGCTTTGTTTTCCCTGATACCGTTTTTAGATGAGCTTGTCTAAAATATCATCAATCAATGGCAACGTATAGTTGTCTTTTATTAATACCTTGTTCACTTTCCGGAAAGCAAAGCACAATCGCAAGTCACCTGTTTTCTTTTTTATCATACACAGGCATACTCGGAATGCTAGGACGTATGATTCCGCTCTCTGGGTATTGGTCTAATATTTGTTGTAACTTGTCTTCTTCCGTGTACGAGAATTGCCTCGGCGAGCAACTAAAATGCTTATAGCTCTCTAACGATATTCTCATCTCACTTATAATAGGCTTCTTTCCGTTTTTATTTTTCTAAAATTTTTACGAACTGACGTTCAATTTCATAGCTTTTATTTGTACTACAGTTGTAATGCGGAAGTTGAACATCTTTGAAATAATCTATGTTGAAATATATATCATTACTTCATTTAAAATATGCTCATTCGTAGCTTTATTTTCTAATGTCGTCGGTCGCATTTTTTTATAAATTATTTATATTATCCGTTTCGTCTAGCATTGGTTGCCTAATAACTTTCTGATCACTTAACAGCAGAGGTGACAAACAACAGTCAATCCCAAAAACGTTGGAGATTTGGTTTCGCTCTTCATGTTTCGTGTCTCTGGTTGAGCAATGCACACTGTTCTGGCTAACAGTAACAACTTGACAGTTCCTCACTAACGGGTTGATTGCTTAGCAGTTGTCTATTAGCAGTTAGCATCTGATTTTGCGACTCTCCTGTAATACAATATTCGTTTCCTCAATTTCCTTTACCTCAATCATCTAGAGTTATGCTCGGACCACATGCACTCATAAAATCTCTGCCCAATAATACATTATGTCTCAAAGAGTCCTTGGCAACAACAATTAAATCAAACAACAATTTTACAAATGAAATAGTGCTGCCGAAGTCTATTATGAAGTTTGTAATAATTGATAGTTTAATAAAATATATTTTAAAAACCTTACGCAGCTGATGTTGCTATCACTTGAGCTCTTAATTTTTGAGCATTGACCCACAAAACGGCCCATTTCACCGCATGCGAAACAATCGTAACTGTTGCGGGACGAATTAAGTTATCGATTGTTTAGTATTAAGTATATTCTGAAAGTATGTATTTTTGCCCTCTGAATGTATAGGCACATTGTATTTGGCTTGTTGCCGCCATTACTTAAATGTTAAGCTCATTATTGTCGTGAGTTCGAAGGCCGTAGGAGGAAAGACTGCGGTAAGATTCCAAGGTAATATATAACTTAGTTCTAACCTATGTAATCCGATAAGAATAAAATACTTGCATTTGCACTAGCACGTTTTGCACTACCCTGTCTCTATTAACATTGGAGTAACATTGCAATGTTCAAAGTGCAATTCCACCTTCGTTTGGCACGCGACATGATCTTTTATTCGCAGTTCTTATTATAAGAAACTGCAAGGGCGACTCGCACTGGAGACAAGACGTGGTGTAACTTTGGAGCTACAGTGCGTGTACATAGACATAGCGCATGTAGGGCCTCCATACCAGTTATAGTGTTACCATAGTAGAAGCCAAGTTCCCGCCGTAAGCGCGCCACAAAGCCTTAGCACCGTGAATGTGGACACAAGTGTACAGCCTACCGGCACTGTGGCCGCGGGAGTAAGTGCACGAGCCAGCATATTGAAAGGAGGGCCAAACCCTAGCACGCAACTCTCAAGTTCGCAAATCATGTATTTGATGAAGAGAGTCGCTGCGCTAG